TCGTAATAAAAGAAGATCTCAGTATTTTGTTAACATCTTAAGCGTTATCTTATCGCTCACGCTTTATTCTTTTATCTAAAGATTCACCGTCTAATTTTGCAGAAATTGATATATTTCGCTGTAAAAAACACTTATCTCTCTTTCAACATCATCATGATTTAAAATAAGTATTACACACAACTTTCAAAGTCTTCATTTTTTTCAATTTTTTTCCAAAATATCCAGTTTCTCAATTAATCCTGTTACTTTGGATATAATTTGTTCGCCACTCAAGAGATAAATTGGTTCATTTCAATCAACGTACCAAAGGCAATTTATTTTATTTCTGGATAAAGAATACTGCACGACCAATGATAATAAGACTAATCTAAGGATTGGGTATTTTCGGAAAAAAATGAAAAAAAATAGAGATTTTGAAAGTTATGTGTAGTGCTGTTTCTAAATCATGGTGATGTTGAAAGAGAAAGAAATAAGTATTTTTACAACGCAATATGCAATTTGTGCAGAAGTAGACAGTGAAAGTTTTGATAAAAAAATAAAGCCTGAGCGACAAGATAACGCTTAAGATGTTAACAAATACTAAGACCCTCTTTTATTACGAGCTACCCGTTAGTTTCATATCATAAACATACTTCCTGCTGTCTTTCTGCTTTTCGATGATAAAACTTCTGTTATTTTCTACTTTTTGCAAAGTATTTTCTGCTTTTCGAACTTCAAAAGGTGGCAGCACTGATAACATGCAACGTTTGATACTAACCGTTCAATTGAATAAATAGAAAAAAAAACTTGAATCGAGACTGATACTTGTTTAACCAATTTCTCATGTTTAGAGTCAAAATTGTGTGCAAATATCAACTGCACATTAGGAATGACATGCTCGCGGCCTTTCTCCATCATACAATGACGAAGAAAGCAGCGATCTACAATTAGCTGCTACATTCGTCATTAGTAGGAGCAGATTCCCTAATAACGACACTAAGACAAATTAATGTCCCTAATAGTGACACTCTAATAGAATACAAGCAAAAACGTCACTCTCGGAAAAAACAAATTCCTTTTACACCTCCTGTGAGATGTAGAGGAAGAATCTCTTGAGCATTTTTCTAAAGCGTGTCGAGCTCTGTCATAGTTCGAAGGTTCATAAGAAATCAATTCTGGCAAAATATGATGCCCAACTGGAAAAGAAGACATCTAGGGTGTGGGTGTGGGAGGATATCGATGGACGTCAGTGCGGATGTGTTTCGTAAGAGAATTTTAGAATCCAAGCTACTTATGAGGGTGTGGGTGTGGGTGGATGCCTGGTATCTGGGTACAGCTTCGTGTGATTGTCAACCACACACACATATCTCATAAATAATAAGAAATAGACCACTTTAATCAAAAGTGTTTCATTTTTCTAAAGGGAAGAGTTGTAAAATATCCTAGGTGATATAACTTGATGTATTCTTTCATTGGCAGAGATATCAGAGCGATTGATGGCTGATATATAAAATGCGATTGATCAACATTTTGGTGACAAAACAGAAAAAAAGAGTAAAAAAAGACTTATTAAATGGCATTGCAAAAGTTCTTACAGGATTGGTGAAAACTCCTGAAATTTTGTGTGCAGAAGAACAATACCTTAACAATTATAGTTAAAAAACCGAGAAGTCAAAAATCTCACAAATTGAAATGCGAAAGTCAATTTTACTAAGAAAGTCATCAAAAAATTGACAAAAAATCATTATTAAAAATTATCAGAAATTCCGTTAGTATTTTGATTATGTGTGTAGGAAAGAGGAATCAAAAGCGAGCTGAAAATTTCAGGGAATACTAAATTCACTATCCTCTACAGCACATAAAAAAATTAGCGAATTCTGAACTGGAACTCCATCGTCGATGTTTGAGTCTCTCAGAAACTGACTCTTAAGAACTTAGATTCAAGATTTTTTCTTTTTACTGTTTATATATGCATGAAATTGTACCCAAGTAACAGTGGCATTATCGCCAACTCTCCTATTGTTATCGAGACATTTTTTAAATCTTTTATTTTTAAAGTTTACTGCTCAGCGACTGCGAAAGTTGGGATGTGGGGGGAGGGAAGTGTATATCTCCCAAGAAATGCGAATTTTGAAATTTTTAGCTACGAAAATTACATAATGGTATCTGTTATTTTTGCATTCCAACATTCAAGGAGAAAAAAGGCACGAAGAGAAAAGAAAAAAGACCGACACATATACGTTATTTGATTACACTTTTACAGTGATTGTAAGCTACAATCAGCTTAATTGAATCAAAGCATGACAATAATCTTTGGTCAATTTACTAAACCGAATGCATACACTCTCACTCGCTTTTAGTCTTTTTGAATAGGTAACTTGAAAAGTATTGCGATATTTCCTTCATATTCAAACTGTATATTAAGTAAAAATGTCTAACAAAGGTGAGAAAAGAAATAACTCAAATAATAATTTCTTACAAAACTGGCTGAAAAGAAAAACACAGATACGAACTGAGGTTGTAAACGAAGCTTCTAATGAAAATGATTTATAATACATACTAGTAAACGATTCGCAATGAACAATCATGGTAGCTACATCTGTAATAACAAACGCTGCGGCATCGTCATCGCTCTCCTTGTCTGAAAGTAATTTTCTCTGCAAAAAATCGGAACGATTTTTATTAATTAATTATTTCTGTTTTCCAGAGATTGCAGAAGAACTACTGACGACGATAACTGAATCTATGTATGATTTGACAGAACCTAATCTGGTCGATACAAATGAAACTCATGGTATACCGAACATTGTTAATGAATTGCAAGAACTGCAATCATTATTTTCAATATGTGAACAGAGTGTGAGTGTGAGTGTGTAGGATGGGATGTGGGGTAGGTGGGTATGGGTGAAAAAGAGATACACTTATACCCACATCTACATCCACACCCACCCACACCCACACCCCTGCTTGTCGACGGAGTACCGTGTCGACGAAAAGTTTTCAACCAAGTGCCTTTCGACGAAGATTTTTCGACCAACAACATAATTACCGAAAATGACAGGTAGCAAAACTGATAGAAAAACAAAAAATATGAAACACTTTATGCTGTCCTCTTTATTTCAGGTACCGACGGAAAATTGATGAAATATTTCAAATCTCTCTCTCATTACGACTGAAAATCGATTACTAAGTTTTGCTCAAAAAAAAATCAACATTGATTTAATGTTAAATGCTCGTCGAAGAATAACTGATAAAAAACGAGACGGAGTGTTAAAATTAAATTGAAAAAATAGTTTTAATCTTACTTGATGTTGCTCGATTTCCTAGTAGACAATCACTAGCATTTCAAGGAATTGCAGAATCTGAAGATGTAGTGTAAAAAATTGATTTTAACGAAATTTCATGTTCTCTAAATCTTATCAATCTAGGTAACTTTATTGCTGGTGTTAATGTAATACGTTGTTGTGATCCAGTACTTGACCAGTGGTTCAACGGTTCCAGCTTACGACTATATCATGTGAGGATGGTTCAATACGAGGTTTCCTTAATTCGATTAAAATATTTTAATTGTAGGCCAGTTACCTTCATCATGATTCACAAAATGAATTTATCGAATTACATGGTACTATTGTTCACAAATTCATTTTAAAAGACATCAATAAGGCATCGTTTATTTCAATTACTACCGATTCTACAATGGACAGGTCTCACAAAGAAATTTATACAATTATTATACGATTTGTCAAAAATGTACAACAGTTAAAAAAATATGGCATTTCCACTAATAAAATTAAAGCTCAATTGTATGATAATGCCTCGAATATGTCCGAAAAAAATCTGGGAGTACAGGCATGTTTAAGTTAATACTTAAACAGATCAATCATGTATATACGTTGTAGTATACGTTCGTCAAATTTAGTTATTCAACATTGTACTTGTATTCATATTGATTATGTTAATTACTTTGGTATTTTCCAAGGACGGTATAATTTTTTCACCGGTAGTATCAAACAATATTCGCTACTTTGTCAACAATTAAATCAAACAAGTTATGGTAAGTATTACTCGATTACCAAGGTGTCTAAATATCCAGTCTATTAAGGTCTATGGATGAAAGATTTATCCAAAACTCGCTGGTCAGATCGACATGAAGCTGCTCGAGCTGTGATGGTATCTTATCTATAAATATTAAATACTCTTCAAACATTATCTGAATTATAGATAACTTATATTACTTAATGTGATCATTTCGAACATAAAATATTTGATAGTTAATAAGAATAGAATTTTTTCTTCTAATTTGTTCAACTAAATTCATCAATTTGTTTTAAATATAAACAAAATAAATGAAAATCAAATATATGATTTGGTTCGATCCCATTTAGTCGACTAATTAAGATCAATTAGAGAAATTTCCCGTTCCGTCAACTACTTTTTCTTCCTTTGATAGACCGCTTCCTAATAATTAAGGTTTGGTTGACTAGATAAGAAGCAGTTAACAGGAAACAGCAAGAATTATTGTATGATCATTAAAATTCAACCTAGAAATATGACTAATAGCATTTTTAAAAATGATTTTGATGAATTTTCATTATTCTTAACTCCAAAGTCAAATGAAATTTGTTTTCCAATTGTTTTGCTGATCTTTATAAAATAACCATTTAATACCAACAAATCTTTGGCAAGACGATCCATTAAATTAATAATTCTTCTATTTCAAATGATATATTGTTTCTTTTGTGGGTGTTTATTTTCCTGCTGCTGTACTTGTTTTAAGAGTTGCCATATTGAAAATGTAATTGTTTTTTAATTCTTTGAGAACCACATAAAAACAATAAAGAATAACATTAAAACATGGATTTATTTTAACAAAAAATATAATAATAAGACCTAGAGCAACGAAAAAATTTAATACATAAATCAACAATTGATTTATTTTATAATGAAAATCAATGATGACATAAAATGTCAAACTATGAGAAGGAAAAAATTTTTTATTTATTTTTAATATAATAATCATATTAATTGTTGAATTTTCGGCCATGTTGAGACCATCTTCGGAACATGATTGATGTAATAAGAAAAAATATAATAATAAATTTAATAACTATTGTACGGCTTGTACGACATATATAAGAATTTTTAACACGACCAGGAATATCACCACGAGATACTGTAAGACCTGTACCACCTATAGCAGAATCAAACAAACCAATACCACCTTCACCAACTTTTTTTCTTCTCATAGTTTGACATTTTATGTCATCATTGATTTTCATTATAAAATAAAGCAATTGTTGATTTATGTATTAAATTTTATCGTTGCTCTAGGTCTTATTATTATATTTTTTGTTAACCACATGCAAGTTCAGATTCGTTGTACCAACATTTGAGTTGAGCCAATGATACCAGCGTTCTAATCTATTATCTGTCCTAAGACCATAAAAGGAGTAATAATTCCATATTTTCCTTGGAAATAAATTATCATGATTCATGAACTCATGGAGTATGATCAAAGGCGTCCATTATGTTACACAATAAATAATCAATGCTCGAAACAGGAATAAAAGCTAATGCACATATTTGTTGAGAAAAAGCTTTGATTGAATTTGGACCATCATCCGAAGACGAATAACATTATTGTTGCTATCCTAAATCTACAATTTTCTTATAAATACATCTATTGAAGTGAAAGTTGCATCCATTTATGTCAGCATTGGGAAGCACGTTCTTTGATGAACTTAAACAGCCTTGTTCGAAATCCACAATGATTAATTTAGGATTTAGAATAAAATCATATTTAATACTAGCAATTCTTAAATCATTGAAAAATATGGTATACATTGTTTTAAGTTTATCTGGTAACAATAAATAAATTACTGAAATAGTGGTATTTAATACAGGTGATTCAATATGAATGCTGTAAAGTTGTGTGAATGGTGAAGACGAAGATTTGAATGTTCCGTCTGCAAATATATGATTATAGAAACATGATATCTTTGGTGATTCAAAAGTGCCAAAGACAAAGTAACGTGGATTATTATTATCAATTACTGTAAAATCATCTCCACTTACTGCCATCCACCACTTCCCTGCAACATGAGCAATGGACTCATGAAGAAAATTATAGTTACTTCTTATATAAAACTATTACCTTCAATTGAAAAATGTTCAATGGATTTAAGAAGTGGAAGATACTTTACGTTCTTCGCTTGGTAGAGTGAATTTTTGATTTGATGAAATGGAATTGAGGTAAGCTGCAAACAGTATCACGTTCAGTTGTATATTGATTAATAATTTCATCACGATAGATTTTTCTGATTTGGCTTTGTATCTTCACACTTTTGTTATTTTAAATCTGTTATAAATATTTCTTGTTTGTTTTTTTTGTTCGTCTGGTTGATAATTATGCGGTACAGTTACAATCGGCCTTTGGTCAGCTTTTTGAGTGAGATGTTCGGAACACTCACTCCAGTTTTCACAACCCCAGTAAGTATTAGTATTTCGAATATGATCACAGAGGTAACGATAATTATTGTAAATTAAACAGTTTTTAGCCTTTTTGGGTTTGTATTATTGTGTACTTTTTTAATTCAAGTTTGTGCAATCAATTCGGATAAATACAGAAATCTCTGAAGTTATGCTGATTCCCTTGACATTATGACTCATCAATTTCATCCAATCGAAATTATGTTTTCTAATCGAAATAAATCATTGTGAACCATCTTACTGATATATTTTTATTCGGTTGGATTATCACCTGTAAAACACTAGTAGTGATTCATTTCTGCAAACCTTCTCATTTTCTACAAATAGTAAGTATTCATTATGTGATTCACTAATTGAGCCTTAACTAGTCGACCGAACGCTTAATCATTAGAATCCAGTCTATCAAGGGAAGAAAAGCTGTCGACGAAACGGGACAATTAAGGGCGTGTCGACGAAATGGGACGATAGCTATAATATCATTTTATGATCTAAAGTTCGGTCTCTTTGTGAGTTTGATTCGAAATGATTCATACAATTGGTTGTTCTTTCCTTTTTTTTTGTCATAAAAAAAATTTTTTTCTCTATCTCCTATGTGATTGTATTTTGTGTTTGTTTCGTATTATGGGCGTTACCGTTGGGCAAAATGACATGTTATTAAAAGTACATATGCATAGTCTTTTGTTGCAATGACAAATATTTTAATGAAATATCTCATGTAAATTATACTTTATTCACTGTTATAGATTTTTTCAATTGATATCTTATATGGAACAAAGAAAACGATCACAAAACAACCATAATAATGATTACCACAATATCAAACGGATAAAAATAAGAAGTAATAGTTCTATTTGGATTTTTGTGTCGATGTTTTTCTTTTCTTTTATTTTTCTAGTACCACAAAATTTGCGAAGTAACTGGTTAGTGTACAAGAAATAAATTATGTCGTTGTTTTTGTTTTTTCTTAATAATTATTTTTTATTTTTCAGTTTAACAAGAGATTCCATTACTACTTTTGAAGATCTCTCCAATGAACTTATTTATGAAATATTTGAATATCTCGATTTTTATCATGTATTTGAAACTTTTTACGATCTCAATAAACGATTTCAAGATCTTTTTATTCATTCAAATCTTTCAATTAAAATTAACATTTCATCTATATCAAAATCTAAATGTCAACGTTATTTAACACATTTTATCATGCATCAAACTCATCGAATTAAAACATTACGACTATCAAATCCATTTGCAACTGATATGACTTTGTTATTATTTCCAATAATAACAAATTTAACTCGACTTGAATCATTAATTATAACTAATATTGAATCGAAGTATATTAAACAAATTATAAATCATTTATCTTCTTTACCTATGTTATCCTTATTAATCATTATATCTATTGATACTATTAAAAATCAAAATGGTATTTATCAAAAAATATTTCGTTTACCTGCATTGAAGTATTGTCAAATGTTCTTTAATATATTACGAGAGCGAAAACATTTGCATTTACCTACAAATGAATTCAGTCTTATCGAACATCTTGTCATTAACGATCAGATTTTGATTAATCAACTTGATAATTTATTATCATGTGTTCCTCAATTACGTCGTTTATCATTGAACAATTTATATGGGTTTTCACACGATCGAACATTGACGAAATCGATTACTTTAAATTATTTGACACATGTGTCTCTTAGATTGTATGCAGTTCATTTTGAAGATTTTGAATCAATAACTAAAGATTTTTTTCATAAAGTTGAAATTTTACGTATTTATGTACGTTGTCAATCGGTTCATTTATCGAATACAGAATATTTAAATGGTAATCGTTGGGAGCGATTAATATCAACTCATATGTTAAATCTACGTATCTTTGATTTTCAACATCAAGATCACATATATGATTATAAAGATGATACATTAACATATGAAACTCACATCAATATGTTCAATTCATCATTTTGGATAAAACGACAATGGTTCTTTGAAAGTCAATGGTATACGAAGAAACATTATGGTATTCTCACTTTCTATTCGACAAATCCATATAGGTAGAGATAAATTCATTTGTTTACAATAGTCATATTCATGTAAATTTTATTTTACAGGAGAAAATATTATGATTTGTGTCGTATCTTAGGAGAAAATGTTGAACTTCATGGTCTTGAAACTATAGATAATCGAGCTCAACATATTTGTATCCATGATACAAATGCTATGGAAACATTCATGGGTAACTTTCGAAATGCTACTGAATTAACTCTCTTCGAAACGTTTAATATATGTCGTAATTCGATTGTAACAGATCTCAATCGTATTATTCCTTTAAAACAACTCTCTACACTATCTCTTGACTACCATCATTTATCTTTTAAGAAAGTAATCGAACTACTTGGTTCTACGCCACGTCTTCATACACTGAAACTTAATTCGATATCACTTTTTCGGTTAGATCCTGCTTCGATTCAACAAAATCCAATATTTTCAATCGTATCCATCACGAATACTATAAAAAATGTGACACTTAATCAAAACATTACATTAGAAAAACTTGAATTAATGATTAATCTTGTTCCTCGATTAGAATATCTTACAATTAATTTAAATGAGCAAGATTTGAAATCTGTAACACGATTTTTATTATCGAACCGTGATAAAAATACTCGTCATTTATCTTTATTATGTATTTCAAAACATCATAAACATATGGTAGAGAATATGAGACTTCTGATCCAAAAAGAAAAACTTCTTGATGACTTCACTATAAAAGGTATCAATCGACGAGTCTATTTATGGTGGTAGATTACATTTTTTACGCTGATATATTCAACTTGAACATTATTTTTTTGTTTGTTTTAATAAACAGAAAAATTAGAAAATATTCTTGTTTGTTTAACATGCCCAATTGAAATCAATAATTAAATCGTTAATCAAATTAACTTTTCATCTTGAGTATAAAAATAAGCTTCATTGTATATACGTTGTAATAAAATCATTTCGTTTATTATATCCATATCTATTGATGTCATTTGATTTCTTTTTCAAGAATTAATATTGTTTCAAAGTAAGGCTCCAAACAGGACAGCGTACCCCTGTAGGATATAACAGAATACATGATTCACTGACTTGTCCTATACGAATTGTGTTGAAGATTGCCCATGTTTGCTGGAAAAAATAAACGTTAAAAATATCGCTATTGTTCATTCTATGAAGGACGAAATATCAATTAAATACATTTGGAGATAACTCAATGGCATAAATATATTACTATTTGTTCTTAATGGATTAATAATTTTAAATGAATCAAAATCGATTTTAATCTAATTTTCTCTCAAATCACTTCACGACTTGTCGAAACGTGATGGAATCACTTTTTTTCACCTTACACTTTCAATGTCTCAATGAAATGAAACTAGATAAGCCTGAAATGTTCACAAGTTATGAAAATCGGATTCCTCTACAAATGTTAAAAGTTTCATAAAATTATCAATTTTCATACTTGCTTTATGACTTACATATAGGTACGTAATAGAATCACCAAAAATGGACTTGAATTTAGACTGTTGCTCAAAGAATGAAAAAAAAACCTTAGCTCAACTATCAATTTAATGAAAAAAACTTTCTCTAGAAAAGTTATAGCTCAGATAACGAGCTATGTGTACAAAAAAAAGAACATTTGGAAAAAATGTAATACTAATTTTATAGGCCGAAAAAATCGCTGTGATGGTATCACATTTTAAAAATGATGATGTTTGTTTAACATTAATTTTCTTCAGAAAATTGCGTAGTAGTACATCATAATTAAAAGACTTATTTCATAAAGAGAGACAACTAAGAGAATCAGTTTAAAATATCTTTCTAATAATATAAAACCTGTAATTTAAAACCATAAAATATAAACAAAGTCTAAAATCTAAACTATATTTTTCTTCACATTTTTAACAACGAGCATATGGAATTAGGAATGCCATTATGACAATCCATCGCCTACTGCTAAAGAGATCAATTACTGTTATGGACATCAAGTAACTAATAACAGAGAATTTGCTGAGCTTGATTGGTTTGATGAGGAGGAGTAGTCTATTCCGAGAAAATAATGATTTCGAATAAAGTTTGAAAAAATGCTTTTGAGATCGAGGAATTTCATTGTATTAATGACTTCTTAAAATTTTTGAGTTTGATATTTTCAGAAAGTCACCCATATGGATTCAGATTCCTCGGCTCCGAATGCTTGTGATCAAACTTCATTATACATCATCATTTCCTCAAAATAGGCTTTTCCTGATCGAAAAATATAGCTCATTGAGTTTTCGTGACTTATCACAGGTTCTTTGGACAGTCTCGGTCACTTCTCGTCTCCTGTTTACTACTGATGCTACTAATCTACCTACTCAACTAATTACATACTGTCACGATTTTTCATGAAATCAAATGATGTTTTTGCTAGTTTTTCTAACAATCGGTTTATTCGAATAAATCTCTACTGAAAAGTATGAACGAGATTTATTGACTGAGTAAAGAAGTATCATATCTCACTACAGTGATAGAACAGCACATCAGCATATGTTTTTTCGTTAGAAGAATTGTAAAATACAGGAATAGAAAAACAATGATTACAAAGAGAATTGCTTGCATAAAAGCTGTTTCTTTTCATATGTCACCTATAATTACCTTTATGTGGATCTGTACAACCTCAGAATAGACTCCAGCAATAACCGAAATCATCGTATATCTGTGCTGCAATTAGGCAGTAGGGCTCAAAATTTGCTTTTCTAGAGTCAAACATTTGTTTAAGATAACAACTTGAAAGACAAACGGCGATTCAAATGTTTTGTGGCAAAACTTAATCATTCCATGGTGATTCCATCACGGTATTCCTGACCAGTTAGAATGTTTATAAAACTATCTAATCGGACCATACTATAGAGCCCAAAATGTGTATTCAGAACATCATCGGTTCAAATACAGACCAAGCTTGCTGTTGGCTAAAAACGAATTAGAAGAGATTTTCTTGATCGAATCACCTTCATCAATTTGTTACCTTTACATATTTAAATAAATATCTATAGAAGCACCAAAACGCAGGCCTTTTGTCACAATTGTATACTCTGTAGAAAGTCTCGTTAGCTCTTGTAAAAAATTTCGAAGAAGATATATTTGCTTATACGAAAACTTCGAAATTAAGAACTAATAGTAAAATATGACTTTTATGACTTCTGAGACATATATCCTTTGTAACATTTATTTTTCTACCCAAAACTTCAAACTATACAAGTGAAAAATGCATGTCTGTAATGTTATCATCACCGTTCTACATGATGGTTATATTGATTTCGGTTAATTAAGTAGGTTAACTTCATCCACTCAGGTATACCGTTACATGGACAGGTCGTTATCATTGATATATTTCTCAAAGACATCAAAAACCAATGAGTAATAATCGAAATAAACATGCTTGAACATAAAAAAAGCAAAATCGTCATTAAAATTCATCTTTTCTAATCAATTTCAATGCATCAAATTTTAATGATGCTATTTCAAGCAGGACTTTTACGAATTCTCATAAACTTTAGCAAAATCAAATCTTTCACATGAATAAAATAGAAACAAGAGAAATAATAAAGACAAAATTCAGAAGATCAATAACATTAGCTGTCATTTTCTAATTAATACAAGTATGATCATTATTTCGTTGAAGAATGTTTCTGACAAGTTTGATTCTTAATATCGCTTTATATTAATTCCCACACGAGTTATTAAACAAATAATTATACTAAATTATACATATCCATAGGCTACTCCTTTAATATTGTTCTTTTACATGTATATGAGTATATTAGCTCGCCTAGTTCGCTGCTCGAATACAATATGCCCAACATCACCATATCCATTCAATAGAAGGTCAGCGACATTTGCAGCGCATTACTTGTTTAATCGATTTATTTATATTTGTAAACTATTTCAATCCAAATTTCCCGTCAACAAAATGTTGACTTACGTATCTAAATCTTATACGACAAAATTATTGTATTTATGTAATACAACGAGCGGAACAAAAGACTTGATTTTATTTAATTAATTATTGCTTTTATTTTCCTTGCTGTGTTTTTCTTTGAAAAAAAACGATTTGATATTTTCCAATAAATTCTCTATATCGCATATTAAAACGAGGATTCTCATAATTTGTCTTCATATAATTTTTCTTTTTATGAATTCACAAAAATGAATAGACACAGAATAGATTTTTCGTTTATTATTTCTATCTCTCTCGCCAAATACATCAAATTACATTTATAATGATAAATACAACAAACTTAATGGATTGTTGATATTTGTTTATAATCGAACTTAAGCACAAAACCATAGTAGTTTCGACATATATTTGATCTGACTATGAATAAATTAAGAATGAAGTTTTATTTCTTTTTTTCTCGGTTAACTTCTCGATAATCCATTAACAGCAGTATATTATTTGCCAAGTATTATTGTTATCAAGTTGGCTTTTCAC